ACAAAATAATCCCTTATTTCCCTCAACATGAAAGCACCGCAGAACACTTTTCTCAGCTTCTTCCTACAGAGGAGAAAGCCATCAGGAGTGCAAGGTGTCTGCTTCGGCTGCTCCACACAACAGCCAACCCGTATGGGAATGGCAGCAGTGAATGGCGCGGTGGACAACCCCCCGCCACTATTGACGGTATAAACATGTAAATGAAACACATTACCACTGACAATCAATTGTCCGCGAGCGCCCTGCGAAACCTGCCCTCCTCCTCCCCTCTTTTTTTTTTCTTCTTAACCCCCCCCCCCCTTTCCTTTACTCAGTGACGATGGCAAAAAGCTGCCCCTACCTTGAGGAGGGAAAATCTGGGAGAGAAGGGAGGGAGGGAGGGAGGGAGGTAGATGGGACATGGCAGGAGAGAGGAGGGGGGGAAGAAGAGGAAGAAAGGGAGCACCTTGTCCCCCCCCCCCCCCTCTCCTCTCTCCCTATTCTCTACTGCGAATACAACTTTAAAAAGGCACAAGAATAATAGAGATGGAGAATTGTTTAGACTGGCAGAAATCTGGCATTGTCTGAGACTGAAAGCAAGGCTACCCCCCCCCACACACACACACTTTCCCCTATTTTTCTCCATCTTCAGCGTGAATCTGCAATAGCCTTAATAACCACATTCAGACTATTATATCAAACTCCAGCAGCCAGAGAGAGCGAGAGAGGGGGGGGGGGCTCGTCTTTCTGCTTCTACTTTTGCTGCTGCAGATTATGTAATCGGTGCATTTCCGAGGGTATGTCCCGACAACCATCATCGGAGGGTACGGAGACAAACGCTTCGAAAACTGGGTGACGCAGAATCCAACAACGAATGAAAACAACATCTGTATTTCCTCGTTTATCTTTTTCCTCAGACAAAAGATGCCACAGTTTGATGCAGAGCGTCTGCGTAACATCCACCTCAAAAAACAACATGATGACAAAGCAAGGCATTTCTTTCTTTTTTTTTAAAGGTGTGTTTGTGATGCTTGCCTTGTTTAAATAATGAGAAAATAAGGACAGGTGTGCGAGTGCTTTTCTGTTGGGCGCTCACAGCTGGATGTGACAAGCAACACCTGGCGAGGGCCAAACTCTCAAACACTTCACGCTGCCGAGATCAAGTTTCACACCAGGAGGGGAGAAGGGCTTTCATAGCGGTCTAACAGTGGGGAACAGGATGATAAAAAAATGTAATTTCTCAGGTTTTGTTGCTTTTAAATATCGCTGGCATTTCAGAGTCTATGAGCTGCGAGGCAGAGGCTTCACAGCGGCGTGCAGGAGGTTTGGATGAGGAGGGGATAAGTCATGAACTGTGGTTAAATACCACATGACAGGCTGGGCAGTGAGTGAGTAAAGCTACTGTAGCACCTCCAACCCTGAAGGCCAACAGTCATCTGGATGAGAATGTCATTGGTTAGACAACTTAGTGAGCAAATGCCTCATTAATACTAATTGGCACAAATGCTGAAAATGCTCCTTCCATTTTAAAAAAAAGGAGAAAAATAATCCGAACAATTCCAGTTATTCTGTCTGTGAGGATGCATTGAGTGAAAAAATATATCCGATCAAAATATAACACTGAGCCGTAATTACTTAATTAAAACAAAAAAACTACGTTAAACATTTAGTCATTTTTTAAACAAAAATAATTACAGGTGGCACACAAATTATAATTTTCATCCAAACATGCTGGTTTACACACCACCACCTCCAAAGGCTATTCAGAGGAATTAGCGTTAATTGTAGAGATTTCACATTTGTGTATATTCATCTGATTTGTCAGTTAAGGGAACGATGAGGGAGTCTGGGTGCATCCGCCCTCCATCTGCTTCAAAATTTAGAAAACTGGGTCTGTGTGCGCTGCATTTTTTGGTGCATTGGAGACGTTTTGTTAGTTACTGCTGGAAGAATCAGAGTCTGTCCCGCCGGCCGTCACACGCTTCGCCCTGCCCTGCCATCGCTCCACAGAGCCAGGCAGGAAGAGGACAGAGAGACAGGCAGGGAGACAGAGAGAGGAGAGTGGCCAAGCCTCAATAAGCCTCTGCATTCCCAGGGGGGAGGATTGGGGGTGAGGAGGGGAGGAGAGGGGGGGGGGGGGGGGATCATCAGACAGAGCTAGTTGTTATGGAAGAAAAAAGAAAAAAAGGGGACTCACATTTTACAATTTTCATCTCGAATGATATTAAATATATTTCTGTAAATGTACGTTCTCCTGGATGAAAGAAATAAATATATTCTCTGCCAAAGCTCGCCGTCTCTCGTCAGGTTTAAGGGTGTGAAAATTATATTTGCTTTGCTAATATTATTTTATCAAATGCTGCATTTGGTACTAAAGCCAGTCCCCCCTCCCCCTGACAAAACAGGTGGCCACAGATAAACAGGCTGTCATATCTCCAAATGTGTGTTTTTATTCTATTTTTCTTTTAAGACTGCAAAATGTAAATACATCTTTATATTGGAAATATCCAGCTCCTCTGTTATGCTCTTGTGCTATTTAGTGTGGAACAAAATGCTTGTCTGCTATCGATTGTATGAAATCAATAAATGGAATCTGATCTAGATAAATAACCTGTGGGGGCAGAGATTAAAAACTGTTGTGGAGAAAGCAAATGAAAGCCTCGTCTGAGCAGCTGAATCACAGCCTCGGTATTTCACACACACTGTCTCAGCTCGCCAGTGTGTTTGCAGCCTATATGGAATAATCAGGAATAACGGGGCCAGGGAATGTCACTGCAGATTTGCCTCTTGTGGGAAACTGTGCAGTCAAATGAAGAAAGAAAACCTACAAATCTCCACCTCCAGCGCTCCAGTCCAGACCCAATTAATGTCCAGCATTTATCTGACATGTAATCCAATTTATATATGATACCTCCACTACAATAAACTAGTGACAAAAGAAAACACATGCAGCTTTAAAAACTACAGCAACAACCGAAATGAATTATTTCACCAGTCTGCTGGTCCCGGACACCAGCGACAATAGGGCTGAATCACTTGAAAATGTGAGGTGATGTAAAGGCCCATATAGAGAGAAAAACATCACGGCGGATTAAAGCATGTCAAAACTCCAGTCACAAGGTAGGACTTTTACACCGAGCAGCGTTAGTCTGCCCCAGCCAGCGATGGTCTGAGTGACCGTTACACAGTCCCCCATGGCGGATTGTGTCCCGGCGAGAAACCAGCCGGCACCGCTACGCTCCAACTTTCAAACATCCACAAGTTTCCAACTAACCTCATCGCAACCGTCACAAAATAATCGCCTGAAAACACGCATTTTAAAACCGCTATTTTTTAAGATTCCAACGACCCGAGTGGGGCTGAAACACGGACGCATTTACGCACAGATTCTCCCCGGGATAGCGGTCCCTTTATCCCTGCGTAAAGAGGGAAGGCAGAAATGCGCACCAGCCGCGGACCCTCACACACCCCCGAACCGCAGTGGAAACCTCCAAACCAGGCGTACATCCAAAGATATCCCCCCGACCGCTGTTTGTATGATTTTCTTACCGTTTTTCCGTCTCGGGTTGGCTTGTTTTCGCCTCTTACACCTGGGGCCATCCGCCATGATCTCTTGCTTCATTGATAAGTGTGTGTGGGATCAGATGGCAGCTCGCATGGACTCGATTCCTTGATTTCAGCTTGATATCTGACGGGAAACACACACACAGATCAACACCAACAATGTGGGTATTAGCGTGGCGATCCACTTGCGCCGGACGCGCGACAAGAAACAGCAAATGTAAGTTGGATGGAGGGACAGATTATAAAAAAAGAAAAAAGAGCCGTGGGTGAAAGTATGAGAAGGAGCGGTGAGGGCATCCGTGTCCTTCTAATTTTGATTTTCAACTGATCGGCTCTCAGCTTAGTGGCATTAACAGCAGAGCAAACAGCAGCAGGAGGAAGGGAATTGTAATTCCTCTTATTAGAAAAACACAATTCATTTCGCCGATGAGGACAGAAGCAAAAACATCCATTGTTATTTCTTTCTGAAAAGTTTCACCAACCGGTTTGTATTTTTCTTCACTTTGAAGAATTTAAAAAATATTTTAATTCTTTCTATTAAAACTGACAGGATTTATTCACGTTTTGCGCCTCGAGTCCGGGTTCAGAACAGAAGCTGAATCCGGTTAATAAATCACATTTCTGTCATATTTTAGGGTCATATCCAGAGCTCACACGTTATAGACGGAAAAAGAGACTGAGCTGCAGCTTGGAATGAGGCTTCACTGTGTGGTCTGATTGAAAGTCATTTAACTTCAATAAACACTTGGTTTCGCCTGAGAAAATCACACTTCTCCCTTTAATAAACTCATTCCAACCTCTCTTGTCAATAGTTAATAAATAACAGATGGGAAATAATTGTTAAAATGTGCCAAATGATTCCGGACTTTAAGGGAATCTTTAAGGCACAAATGGCGCATAAACAAAAGCGATAAGATTCAAATCGCCTGTGTGGGATGTTCGCTTCACCAGCTAATTTATCAGCGCAAATACCGTTATTAGGATAAGTGAATATTGACAAGAGCTTTTGTTTGTTGTGGGTACTTGGACGTTTAGCTGGGTGATTAAGAAATACACAAATAAAATACAAGCTGTGGAGACTAAGAGGGAAAACGGGATGTAATCGCGTTTTTGCTTCCAAGGATAGCGGTGGTGTGCAGCGCCAAACGCCCCGCAAAAAGCCCACTTTCCCCGGCTCCCAGGAACCTACGGGACGCCTCTACATCACGGAGGTAAAAAAAGGAAAAACCGCTCGAAACAAACGCACCTATTTCCACCTGTGCAGGTAAGGCAAAGTTCTGCTCCAACTCTGACGCGGGCGCAAAGAAGTTTACTGTCCAAAATGTCTCCGAAAACACGCAATAAATAAAGAAGTGAGGAAGCACATACCTGATTTTAGGGAGTGTAAAGAGGTGTCTTGTGGATAAGAGTTGCGAGGAGGGATGATACTGGAGCGCGTCGGTGAGCGGATCCTTTTCCACCGGTGATAATAAAGCCTTAGAAATAAAGCCTTAGAAATAGTTGGGAGGAGGGAGGGACCGCTATTCCTGCAAGGGCAGGTTTACAACTGATGTCTTACACCCACTCCAGGAAACAAACCTGGGTAGGGACTGACGTGTTACGCCTCTTCTAATGACATTTTTTTTCTTTCCACCTCCTTTTCTTTGCCGTGTAACACAGAGGAGAAGCCCCCTGAAACGCACGCCACCTATCTTCACGGGAGGGGATAATTGAGGAGAGCCAAACGTGAGCATCTTCTGGGTTGAACGTGAAGTTTTTTTTTTTTCCTCCCTCTCTCCCCCTCTTCCTCCTCTTTTCTTTCCCTCACTCTCCTCTCTCTTCCTCCATCTCTTCTCTTTTTGAGTGAAACCAACTATGTCGGGCTTCGACGCGGAGCAACGACCAGGCGACAGTGTGTGTTTTTTCCCGTTCTTCGGGTGCATGCGAGTGTGTACGTGTGTGTTAGTGTAGAAGGGGGAGAAACTTGGAGCGCGTCCACGCCGGCCGCAATCATGTAAGGATGTTTTTTATATATTTCTATTTCCACTCCGTTTAATTTGCAGAAATGGCAGGGTTGATACGGCAGGATGCAGGGGCTGGCTGGGGAGGCAATTCCACATATTCTTCATTATTGTAATTGGCTGCGACTGCAAAAGGTTTGGGGATGTTCGGCTTTTATCTACGCTGCAAGAAATATCGTCTGGACATTGTCACTCTGTGTCAAACGTCGTTTCTTGCTTTAAAATGTGCCAAGTGTGGACGTCTCCACTTGTTTCCATTTCAAATGAACGCTTTCTTGTATTGAGAATAATTTACTTCACGTCACGGGTTCCTTTTCTTTTAATGTGATTCTACTTGTTTTATGAAATTATTGGAGAAAACTGAAAAACCTTTGGAAACGAGCACAATTTGTGTCTTTTTGCTAAAAACTAAGATTGCAAAGGTAAAAAAACAAACTCTTTAGATGGACTGTTTTTGCATGGCAACATTACACGTGTGGTTTATTACCTGTGATGAACCTGCAGCATGAACGCGTGCTGCAGGTGCACCAATGCCTGTATAATATGAATGCATGTAAACTCCACATATGGAGGAAAAACATATTTATATTCTTGCTTCTGCTTATTAGCTCAAGCTATTTTCAAATTGCACCCCCGAATGAAAATGAACCAAAGTGAATCCAAAATAAGTGGGATATTATACAGCACCAAGTACAACCCAGCAGTGACAGAGAGGACTGCAGCCTCTGTAGGAATATTCTCATGATACTAAAGGAGCTGAAAAAAGACCATAAAGTAGAATAAAGTGATGGTGAAGTTACTACAGAGAGCCGCAGACACACTGCGAGTCCCTGCAGGAATATTACAGGACTATCATAGGAGTATTACAGTCATTTTTCCTTCTGGACGCCACTTAACAGGATGAATCTCGCATTTATTAAAGAAGTCAACCATATCAGCCATGTCTGAGGGAGAGAGGGGGGGGGGGGGGGGGGGGGG